ACAGGCACTATGCAACAGGCTTCTAGGAAACAGAGTTACGGCGTTAAAAAGCACTCAGCTACACCAAGAAACACTGCCACCTCCTCAGATCTCTCTCTCCGTACGCCCAGGAGAAAGTGCCCATCTAGTGGTACTGTGTCCTCACCACGTTAGAACACTGCATGGTCTCCTTTTCCTCTTCTTTTGAAACAAGGAGAGAACTAGCCTCAACCTCAGAGCATTTAGCAGGCAGGAAGAGCTAATGAGAATTCAACGACATTCCTTTAAGTTTACTGCTTCTTTGTGGTTCAGTTAAACTTGGTACAACTGATACTTGTTTTCCGTTTAAGAAAATAATATAAAGCTTTCTATTATTATTTTATAGTATAATAAAAGCAGGTAAGGAAAACAAAAAACAAGTATGTAGTTTTAGAGAAAGTAAATAATGACAGTGAGTCCCTGGGGTGGGGGAATGCAAATGGTTAACACGTACTCACTGCTAACCTAAAGGTTGTGAGTCCAAGTCCACGCAGAGGCACCTCGGAAGAAAGGTCTGGCCATCTACTTCTGAAAAATCAGCCACTGAAAACCCTATGGAGCACAGTTCTACTACGTCACGTGGGGCTGCCAAGATTTGAATCGGCTGGAAGGCAGCTAGTTTGGTTTTGTTGAACACGGAGTCTTTGGGAGGTACAAATGATTAATGTGCTTAGCTACTAATTGAAAGTTTCAAGGTTCGAGTCTAGCCAGAGGCACCTTGGAAGAAAAGCCTGGAAATCGACTTCTGAAAAATCAGCCGCTGAAAACCCTATAGACACACTGCAGTTCTATCCCGGCAGTGGGTATTGGTAAACAATGACATGTTTGGATGCAGATGTAGTTCAGAGGGAAGAGGCGTGGCTCTAGTTTGGGAAACCCTATCCCGAGTCCTCTTTAGGCTTCAAGAAAATGCAAAACTCTACAAGGGCAGGCGCCACGTGTCACAGATTTATGACATCACCAGGGATACTTAAAAATACTTGTTGTACACCAGTGTTCACGGCAGCACTCACTTTTCACAATAGCCAAAAGGTGGGAACAACTGAAGTGTCCATCAACAGATGAATGGATACAAACATGGTCCATACAAACAAGGAAATGTTCCTCAGCCCTGAAGAGAAATGAACTCCTGTTACTCGGCACAACACGGACGCGCCTTGAAAACACCACGCTGAAGAAATAAGCCAGTGGCAAAAGGACAACTACTATTATGATCTCACTTACATGAAATGAGCAGATCTATAGGAACCAAAAGTTATTCTGGTTACCAGGGGTAGGAGAGCGAGGGAAAGGGGGAGTTTTTGTTTGGGAATCACTGCATTTATGGTAACGGTGGTGGGAGGTTTTGGGTGAGGATAGTGTTAACGGCAACACAGCAAGAAAGATACAATCAATGTCATGGAATTGTAAGATGTGGACGTTGCTGTATTGGTGGATGTTGCGGTGTGTGTTTCCATTATAATAAATAAAACAGAGAGAGGAAATTCTTAAAACAAAAACTTGCTGATTTGACTTCAATTATTCTCTTGTCCAACAGAGAGTCTCTCGAATGTTTGTCCCTCCTTCCTACTGCCCCCGTATTAGCCTTCGCTTAGACCAAATGCATCAAGCAGGACTGCTCAAAATTGGTACCTAAATAATAATACGCTTTCTACACAGTAGACGAGCCCCTGGGAAGTGCAAACTGGTGAAGCGTTCGACTATTAGCCGAAAGGCTGGCAGTTTGAACCCACCTGAACTGCCTCGGAAGAAAGGCCTGGCTGTCTACTTCCGAAAGGTCACAGCCTTGCAAACCCTATAGAGTTTTACTGTGCACCCACGGGGTCTCCATGAGTTGGACTCGACTCAGTGTCAGCTAAGAACGATGATAACAAACACCACTCAATACACACACATTGTTAAGACCTATAGCCATTCAAGCCACGTGCCACCAAAAAAGTACTCGGGATCCTTGTAAAGACTGAAAGCTGCTGAGCCCCTGAGCGCAGGACCTTCAGCGTCCCCGCATCCTCTAGGCGTGCTGCACATATAAGGTTTGGGCAGGGCCACTGCAGTCTGGGAGTCTAGTTCTGACATGCAGCGATGCAAGGGAAGATTTACAGACTCTTGAAGCCTTGGATGTCTGCATTTTTAATTCAGGACAAGAGGCTCAAGGTTAACGAGGGTGGCACGCGCAGGTGGAACAGAAGGATACCTCATTAATTTTCTAAAGTATGTGATTAGCCAAGAGTAAAGGAAAAGATGCCTCGATGCTGGTAGCTATTTCAGAGTTTGCCGTCTTTTCCCTCTGTTGGCAGAGACCCTGCTCTGTAGAAGTTTAGGAGCCCCTGTTGGATGTGAACGGAGCCCTGGTGGTGCAGTGGTTAAGAGCTCAGCTGCTAACCAAAAGGTGGGCGGTTTGAACCCACCCAGAGGCTCCACAGGAGAAAGACCTGGCTATCCACTTCCATAAAGATCACAGCCTCGGGGACCCTATGGAGCAGTTCTACTCTGTCACATAGGGTTGTTGCTATGAGTTGGAATTGACTCGCTAGCAATGGGTTTGTTTTTTGGGCGGCTGTATGTGAACCTCATATATTTTTGACTGTATTTAACCAAGGAGCTCCTCTTTATTTAATCATTTTGTTACATTTGAATATAGTTATTCATGGGAATCCCAGGGTGACGCAAGCAGTTAATGTGCTTGACTTATGACAAAAAGGTTAGTGGTTCAAACTCATGCAGAGGCTCCACGGAAGAAAGACCTGGAGATCTGCTCCTATAAAGAGTACAGCCTAGGAAACCCTCTGGGGCAGCTCCACCCTGTCACATGGGGTTGCTACGAGTCAGAATTGACTTGAGGGCACACAGCAACAGCAACGTAGTTATTATGGGAGTCCCTGGGTGGTGCAAACAGTTAACACGCTCGGCTGCTAACCGAAAGATTGGAGGTTTGAGTCCACCCAGAGGCACCTCAGAAGAAAGGCCTGGAGATAGATCTACTTCTGAAAAATCAGCCATTGAAAACCCTATGGAGCACAGTTCTACTCTGACACACATGGGGGCGCCATGAGTCAGAATTGACTTGATAGCAACTGATTTGGAAGCCCTGGGTTGAGCAGTGGTTAAGCGCTCCATTGGAGTTGGAGTCGACTTGACGGCAACTGGTTTAGAGTTATCATGAGAGTTATTTCATTCTTGGGGCCACCTGGTAAGCACAGTTCCCCGAGTGGCCATCTCTTTCAATACCCGCTTGTTTAACAAATGAGACAAAGTCACGTTTAGACTCGCAACTCACTGATGAGCCAGCTAGCCATCGATCCATCACTTTCCCTCCACATCCCACAGCAGCAGGTAGGAAACTGCTCTGAAGAATTTTCAATATGCAAGTAGTACTGCAGTAAATATATGGTTTGAAAGAAGACATTGTAGGGCTGAAGGAAAAAGGAAAACCCAGAAAACTAGGTTTCCATGTTGTTGCTGTCAGCTGCTGTCTAGTGGATTCAGCCTCAGGGTAACCTCGTAGGTTACAGAGTAGACCTTGAGCTCCCTAGGGCTGGGCTTCTTGGTTGTCATCTTTATGGAAGCAGATTGGCAGAGCTTTTCTTCCACGGAGCCACTACCAAAAACCAAACCCACTGCCGTCGAGTCGATTCTGACTCACAGCGACCTTACAGGACAGAGCAGAACTGCCTCATACGGTTTCCAAGGAGCGGCTGGTGGATTGGAACTGCTGACTTTTCGGCCAGCAGCCAACTCTTACCCACTGCGCCACCAGGGCTCCATGAAGCCACTAAACCAAAATAAGTCGTTCCTGTCAAGTCGATTCTGACTCATAGCGACCCCGTAAGACACGGTAGAACTGCCCCAGAGGGTTTCCAAGGAGCACCTGGTGGATTCAAACTGTCAACCTTTTGGTTAGCAGCCGTCGCTCTCAACCACTGGGCCACCAGGGCTCCGCTGTGGACATTCAGACCACCAACCTTCACGTTAGCAGTTGAGTGCAAACCCTTTGCACCACTAGGTTTCCATATTGCTGTTGTTGGGCGCCCTCGAGTTGATTCTGACTTGTGGCGACCCTACGTGCAGAGCAGAACTGCCCTATTGGGTTTTCTAGCCTGCAGTCCTTATGGGAGCAGATCACCAGGTGTTTCTCCCAAGGAGCCACTGGTGGGTTCGAACTGCTGACCTTTCAGTTAGCAGCTGAGTGCTTTAACCACCGCACCATCAGGGCTACTTAGGCCTCCATAGACCTTGGAAAGAAATGGCTGTAGTGTGTGTCCAAGTTACAGAAAAAATACAGTTCATTCGGTGACAGAAAAAACACATTGAGGAACCACACAAGTTGGCAGGAGGGCAATAACCTGGTTGTTATGAATTGAATTGTGTCCCCCAAAAATACGTATTGTAAATCCTAACCCCTGTACCTATGGAGGAAACCCTGGTGGCGTAGTGGTTAAGTGCTATGGCTGCTAACCAAAAGGTCAGCAGTCTGAAGCCACCATGTGCTCCTTGGAAACTCTACGGGGAAGTTCTGCTCTGTCCTACAGGGTAGCTGTGAGTTGGAAGCGACTCGATGGCAATGGGTTTGGTTTTTGTTTTTTTTGTTTTTTTAATATACTTATGGATGCAATCCTGTTTGGGAATAGCGTTTTCTCTGTTATGTTAATGAGGTCATTATCAGTGTAGGGTGTGTTTTCAGTCAATCTCTTTTGAGATATAAAAAGAGCAGAGTAGCTACAGAAGCAAGCAAGCACAGATGGAGAAAGACAGACTTCACGTGGACATCTCCAAGGAACCAGGAACAGAAGCTGAAAAGAGACAACAACCTTCTCCCAGAGCTGACAGAGAGAAGGAGCCTTCCCCTAGAGCTGGTGCTCTCCGTTCGGACTTGTAGCCTCCAGAACTGTGAGTGTAAAGGTCTGTTTGTTAAAGAATACACCTGTGGTATTTCTGTTACAGCAGTGCTACGTAACCAAGACACTGATGTAGAGAAAACATACCCCGTTTTGGCGAAGTTTGTCCAGTAGGTCATCACCACCGCGCTGAGCATCACGTCATTCTTGGAGAAGTTACAGCTGAAGAGCTCAGTGGGACCAATCATGGGGATCCCAAAGACGTAGGGGACTTCGTCACCGTGGGCCGAGTCGGCCCAGCTGGGCTTCATCTCGCTCTGACAGTGATGGTAAAAAGCGTAGAAATAGGTTGGCGAGCCGTACTGGGCGTGGAGGTCAGCGGTGGCCACGGCCGGGGCCACCCACTGGTGGTCAGTGAAGAGAGCCACCAAGGTTTTGCGACGTGTTTCGGGGTTCTCCTTGTCTGCCCAGTCCGTGTACATGAACTTGATGGTTTCACGCAGGGTGTCTTTCCCCTCCGGGTAGCCATAAAGGTTGTCCACGAAGTTGGACACGGAGAAGTCAAAGTCGTTGGGGGTGACTCCATCTTCATTGTCCACGATGCCGTCCACGAACTTCAGGCCCTCGCCTTGGTTCACGCCGAGCATGATGTCATAGTTGAGGAACTCCCCTTGCTCCATGAGAATCTGGGGGTCGTCCGGGATGACATCGCCGTCAATGACGGGCCCGAAGGCGATGTGGTACGTGGCCGGGGTGATGGCCTGCTGAATGAGCTCTTTGTAGTTCTTATTCCGAAGACATTCCACCATGTCCGTGGTGTCCAGCATGTTGCAGCCCACTTTATCTGCCAATATCCGAGTGTACTTGGCAGGCTGGTAGTTGACGGCCCAGCTGGACAGGGCGGTGCCGCTTTGGATGATGGCCTTTTGGAACAGACCTGCAGGTGCAAAGGGTGGACATGCAAATTAACACCCCAGGCGCAAGAAAGCAGCTTTTACTGTGCAGAGAATGCGTGCATTGTATCTCCGCGATGTGCATTTCGGGATACAGTAGCATTCAGCTCTTTCAGCCGCTCTTTCAGTCTTTTCGATTCTGTTCCCTCCACCCCAAGCCCCTCATTGGAAGTTGTAGGGGATACTTCTACACAGACGCACAAAAAATAGTGTTTAAGGAGACGTAACTGCAGTGTTATTTTCCTACAGCGTTCAAAACATGCGGTCTCATTACATACTGCAGGACTCCAACTAGAGGATGTTCTGGAAAAGGTGAAACTATCTATACAGACAGTCAAAAGAATAGTGGTTGCCAGGAGCTTGGGGAGGAAGGGACGGATGGATAAGGGGAGCCCAGGACATTTTTAGGGCAGTGAAACTATTCCGTATGATACTGTAATGGTGGACGCGTGACATCATGTGTTTGTCAAAACTCGCAGGACTGTGCAACACAAGAAGTGAACCCCAGTGTAAACTAGGTGTTTTAGTTAATAACAATGTATCAGTATTGGTTCAGCAACTGTAACAAATGGACCGCAGAAATGCAAGCTGCTAATAATGCGGGAAACTCGCAGGTGAGGGAGGGCTATATGGGAACAACCCTCTGTAATTTCTGTGCCATTTATCTGTAAACTTAAAACTGCCCTAAAAATTAAAGTGTATTAAAAAATGAGACCATCAGAGAACATTAAACCCTAACATTTCTCTAAAAAATCGTGTATTAAAAAACGAGACAATCAGAGACCTTCAAACCCTCGTTAGATATTTGATGAGTCTAAAGAAATACTGTTAATTAAAAATAAAAAACATGCCATCTCTTTATCCTGGCACAATTTAGTATAGCTTTCGCTTACCTTTCCTCAGATTCTATAACTAAAGACCCTCAGAGGAAATCACAACCCCCGTTGGAAAAGAAACATGCTTTTTACCAGTAAGAGGTCAAAGATGCTCTGGGCTCACAGACAAAACAGATACCACTTAATTAGGGGGGAATTATCCACTTATATGAATTTCAGAATACCCATTCAGGGCTCTATTCACATCTCCATCCACCATATAATGAAGATATTAAAATTTTAAACAGCAACACTAATTAATTACATTAGCGTTCCTAATGAAATCCTAAAATGAGTAGCCAGGGAACAAGTGTGTTTTTTTTTTTCTTTTCTCTTAGATCATTCATTTCAAAAACATGACAATTCAAAGCCCAGCGTTTTCTATATTTTATGCTGCCACAATTTTAAAATGGCGTGTGTAGGTGCGATACTTGAAAAAGCTTGGGCCATTCTGGGAGTAAAAGCCAAGTGAGCTTTCATCAGATTTCCAACAGATTTGTCTATTGCCGTCCAGAAGCATGAAGCCTCCATTATTAACCACGACAGGAGATACAGAATACCAGTATTCTGTTTGCTCTCAACTTCTGCCTTTTCCATGAACTGCAGTCTGAGTCTAAGTCTGAAGTGCCAGGAGTTGCTGGAAGAACACAACACTTAGCTTTGAGCCCAGAAGTTCACGTCCTGTCAATCCTTCAGCTTGTGCAAGCTATCAAGTGGGAGGAAAGCTATTCTGTTCTATAGGGTTGCTATGAGTCGGAATCATCTCGACAGCAGTGAGTATTTTTTTTTTTGTTTATGGACATATGTAATCTTGGGGATTCAAGCTATAAGAGAGACTTACAGCAAGCCTGCATGTACCTGGGATGTTAATCGAGCTAACGTGCATTCTCAGTTGTGGGGAGTTTGCCTGCCCACCCAGGGAACGCCATCATTACCTTCTGAATAGTGTGACAAGGTCAACAGGCTGACACAGGATGCTCCAGCTCCCGAGCCGAAGATGGTCACTCGCTTGGGGTCCCCGCCAAAGGCCCCGACGTTCTCCTCGATCCACCGCAAGGCTTGGATCTGATCTAGCAACCCATAGTTGCCTTTCGCCGCCTGGTCACCGGTGCTTAAAAATCCTACAAAAGGACACAGGATATTTGGGTTTGTCAGTGATAACAAGCACGGAAACATCACCATTATCTGAAAAGACATCTCATATTTGCCTTGCTCATTCCTTTTATTCCCCCTGTACATTAGAAGCAACACTGGAGAAACATTTTCATGGCATACAGGATGAACCTACTGCCGTTGAGTCACTTCCGAGTGCTAACGATCCCACAGGCTTTCCAAGGCTGTAAATCTCCAGGGACGCAGACTGCCACCTTTTTCTCCTGTGGAAACACTGGTGGTTTCGAACTGCCTACCTTTTGGTTAGCAGTCCATTGCTTCTGCCGCTGCGCCACCAGGATTACGTTATGTAAATAAGGCTTATAACGAACGTTGTTCCTATTGGCATTATGACGAGAGGTCTCCTTTACGGGAATGTATGTGGCTTAGGGATAAGGCAAAATGCATCTAAAATGTGTATGTTTTGTTGTTGTTGGGTGTCATCGAGTCAATTCTGACTCATAGTAACCCATGTGACAGAGCAGAACTGCTCCATAGGGTTTCCTAGGCTGTAATCATTATGGGAGCAGATCGCCAGGTGTGTTCCCGCAGAGCCACTGCGTGGATTCGAACCGCAGACCTTTTGGTTAGAAGCCGAGAGCTTAACCATTGTTCCCCCAGGGCTGTTAAAAACGTGTATAACATGAGACAATATCAGGAAACTCTGTAAATGCTACTGGTTTCAAAGTAGCATTCCTGTACACGGTTTCATTTGCTTTGGCAAAATGGAAAGAAGCAACGAAGAGAAGGTGATCAGGAGAAAAAATAGTGTGTGTCTGTGTGTGTGTTTCTGGCTGAGTGTGTGTCTGTGTGGTTGTGTGTGTATGTGTGTGTCTGTGTGGTTTTGTGTGTATGTGCCTGTGTGTGTTTATGGCTGTGTGTGCGTTTATGGTTGTGTATGAGTCTGTGTGGGTTTATGGCTTTGTAGTATCTGTGTTTGTTTATGCATGCATATACACAAAGCCGTGTATGTTCATTTTTTCCACCCACTTCTTTCTCAGTATTTTAATCTTACTCTTTCTTCGTGCTGAAGTTTCAAAGTAATTCACAGTCATCATGGGCGTCCATGCTTACGTGTTTTAGCATGCACCTCTACTTTTCTATAGAGCAAAAACCTTACCATCACACCCCAAAATTGGTAACTCCTGAATCTCAGCCAAAAGCCAGTCCATATTCAAATTTCCCCAACTGCATCAAAAATTCATTTTAGAATTGGCACGTTTTATTTTAAAAAGAAGGAGGATTCTGTAAATTGAGAATGGAGATTTCAGCCAAGGTGTCAGATTCTTAACTCTTCTTTCTAGACCCAAATGAGACAATTTTGGCATTTATTGTAATGGCGCGATTAGTTTCAGAAATCTATTTTATCCCCTTTTCCTCTCATACTGCAAAATAATTTGACCTGGAAAAAAACTATTTTTCTCTGCTGATTGAATGCGTTTTGTATAAAGATATACACATTTCTACTCAGATTCAAAATCCTGAAAACTTCCTAAAGCATCCTCTAAGTTTAAGTCATTGCATAAACTTTAATTCAGTTTTAGATCCAAATCTCCACTGGACAAGCCTCCCAACCAAAAAGAAATCTTTAAAAGCATTTGCTCCTGTCGAATTTTTATTTGCCTTTACCAAAAATACCCAATTAAGGTATTTTCCCTTTGGGTACCATTTTTTTCTTCCAAGGTTCGTAGCATTTACTCATTTCAATTAATGCTAATTAAGCCCGTATGGTCGTCCAATGTGGGTTCATCTAAATACAGACTGATCTGGGCCCTAAAATCCCATAAATCAAAACCTGCTGTTGTTGTTAGCTGCCACGGAGCTTAACCCCTACTCTTGGGGTCCCCATGCACGATGGAACGAAACATTGCCATCTGCATGATCAGATGCTGATCTGGCTTTTGTGCTCCGTAGGGTTTTCATTGGCTAATTTTTAGAAGTAGATCACCAGGCCTTTCTTCCCAGCCTTAGTCTGGAAGTTCTGCTGAAACTTGCTCAGCATCACAGCAACACACAAGCCTCCACTGACAGATGGGCGGTGGCTGCACATGAGGTGCATTGGCCGGGAATCAAACCAGGGTCTCCTGCATGGAAGGTGACGATTCTACCACCGAACCACCGAGCCAATCAAAACCTAACTCTTTCAAATCCCGTCCCGAGCCAAACGAGACAACAATCAGAGACGCTCTCGAGTGCCAGCTTTTAACATCTAACAGCAAAATAACCAAAAGATGAGCCCACACACTCATGGAGGGACAGGGCCCTCTGTGAGTTTTTTTTTTTTTTCCCTTCTCGTCTATGAAAAATGCTCCATGGGAGGGAGGAGGAGAATCATAAATGAATGGCCTGGCTCAAAAGAAACCAGCAGGGAGTTTTTTTGTTCTAAAATCCTAAGTACGATATGCGTCTCACAGCCTCTGGTACCTGCAAATAAATTCAATGTTATGGCTGCAAGATAAAGCATCTATTTAACACATATTCCCCCAAATCCAAGGCTCTCTAAAGTTCACAGCAATTTAATGTGAGGTTAGCCGTGATTACTGGGAATGTTCAGATGTCATTCGACACCCTCCCCCAAATTTAATTAGCGATTACTAATTAACGTTTCATGCCAAACAAATGTTTTGTGCCACCTGCGTATAGCACTAAACCTTTTATACGCTCTCTCCTAAAATGAATTATGCTTTGCCTGGGAGCAGAAGCCCCTTTCATAGCGTGTATGCGTTAAAATGGCTGCTAATGCCAATTTTGGTAGCAGTATAATAACCGTACGATAATCCTCTCTTCCCAATTAAAGAAAGTGATGATTAAGTCCTAAAAGCTCCGGTAATTGTGTGCCAGATCTGTTCTAGCACATCTATTCTGCAACCATCTCTCTCCTTCTCTCACTCCTTGCAAAAATGACCTACTTGCTTATTTTGTTTCTGCCGAGTAATGGGAGGCTTTGGAACCTATCGTAAACCACCAGCCTGTATTCAGTCAGAACGGGTTTCTCCCTAGAGAAGCGTGACTGTCCTAACCTCTTCAACAATAGGCTCGTTAATATTCCCTGTCGACCCTCGTCTTCATTCTTCTAACGGCATCCTATTGATGGGTTTCATCTAGGCGATTTTGAACTCCTTCCAAAATCTCCCATGACGAGGCTGAGGGAGACCGCTATCCATGCACGTCTGAAGTTTAACAAACGAGCGTCATTTTGATGGTGATGTTTCCATAGATGCCGCCACGGAATCTTCATCTGCTGCAACATCCAGGCAATTTTTTTTTTTTTTTGGAACTCGCAACAAGGCAGAGTCCTGTTGCAGGTACACAATGAATGCAAACGAATTTTTATTTTCTTTACAAGAGCACATTCGTTTCGTGTTCTTATGGCCCCGTTGTGGTGCTGTCTATAGCCCAGGTTTAAGACATGCGTGGGTTAAAAATGAATAAATATAAACCAACCCCTTTACTTGTCAAGTCGATTCCAACTCATGGCAAGCCTGCACGTGACACAGTAGAACTGTGCTTCAGAGGGTTTCCTTGCCTGTAATCTTTATGGAAGCATATCGCCAGGACTTTTTTCCGCAGCACTGCTAAGCGTGTTTGAGCTGACAACCTTTACGAACCGCTTGGACCCCCTGGGCACCTTTATGTTAAGGGAGATGGTTTGTGACAATTAATACCTGAATCATAAACACCATCTGGAGTGTAAATCTATCTTCTGCTTCATTGGTCTGTTCTCAGCCAAGATTGTCTCTGACTAGGAGCAGGTGGAGGGGGACTGGCACTCCCAAGATACCTCTGTGGTGCAGAGGAGTCAGAAGGGAAGAGAAACGGGCTTCTCCTGGTAAAGCTACCTTCTTACCTGTGAATTCAATGGTGCGACTTTTTTCTTTTTAATCTTCATAGGCATCAGACACTTTACAAACCTAAATCAATAGTTGTTGCTGTTTTTCCGTCTGATTATAGAAACTAAAATGATTGTAGCTAATGTCTTCAGAAACAGAGTCTTACCCACTACGCGAGATGAGAGTCGCTGGAAGCGTTCTTAGAAATCTGTTCTCACATCACGGAGCTCTAGATGAATTAACGAAAGAAACACTTGACTGTCTACACCTAGAAAGGTTTTTTCTTTTTAATTTTTATTTTGGTTTAATATATATTATAGCCCTGGTGATGCAATGGCTAAGCACTTGGCTGCTCATGGAAACATTGGTGGCTCGAACCTACCCAGCGGCTCTGCCAGAGAAAGACCCAGAAGCTGATGACCATCTATTTCTGTAAAAATTCCAAAGAAGTCATTGTTGTCAGTCGATTCTGACTCATAAGGACCCTACAGGACAGAGGAGAACTGTCCCCTAGGGTTTCCAAGGCTGTAAATCTTTACGGAAGCAGACTGCCCCATCTTTCTCCTGCAGAGAGGCTGGTGAGTTTGAACCCCTGAGCTTTTCAGTTAGCAGCCGAGCCCTTAACCACTGCGCCACCAAGGCTCCTCTAGTAAAGATTACAGCCTAGGAAACCCTACAGGGGAAGGTCTGCTCTGCCACGTGGGGTCACTATGAGTCAGAATCGACTCCATGACACCTCACAACAACAGCAACGACAAAAATATACCCGATATAAAATTTGCCATTTTAACCCTTTTTAAGTGTACACGTCGCTGGGGGTCGTTACTGACTTTCACAAGGTTGTCTGACCTTAGCACTATCATTTCCAAAACGTTTTCCTCACCTGGAACAGAAACTCTCTCCCAGTAAAGCAGTAAGTCATCCTTCTTCCCACCCCCCAGCTCCTGGTAACCTCTAACCTGCTTATCTCTATGCATTTTCCCGTTTTTAAATATTGCATAGGATTCCCCCACAAAAAGGAATGAAGTCCTGAGACATGGTAGGACACGGATGAACCTTGAAAAGATGATGTTGAGTGAAATCAGAGAGATTCTAAATAAATGGCTAGTTTTATTGATGGGCACTTTAGCAAAAGGTCA